TACGAAGAAAGGGGAAAATATTACCCTGTTCGCAGTGGCAATGAGGCTGCCTTGCAAGGGAATGCCCAGCTCACTAAGGCAGGCTGAGGATTCCACATTCATTAAGCTCCCCAGTCAGGGGAGAGAGGGGCTTCCATTAAACACCTGAACAGGAGAGATAATGGGCCTCTGATGGAGAGGCTAATGTGTGAGATGTGGTGATGCCTTCTTATGGTGTGTGTGTATGTGTGTGTGTGTGTGTGTGTGTGTGAGAGAGAGAGAGAGAGAGAGAGAGAGAGAGAGAGAGAGAGAGAGATGGATAGAAAGACATCTACAGGCATACCTTTGAGATATTGTGGGTTTGTTTTCAGACCTCTGAAATAAAGCAAATCATAATCTTCTGGCTGGGGGATGGTCTTGCCTTCACTTTGTAAAAATTGCAACCCATGTGGCTGGATTGGTTGTGTGTTGTTCTGTGCACTGAAAGGTTGCTGGTTCAATTCCTGGTCAGGGCACATGCCTGGGTTTTAGGCTCCATCCCCACTAGGGGGTGTGTGGGAGGCAGCTGAATGGTCTTTCAATCTCACATTGACCTTTCCTCTCTCTCCCGTGAGGGTTTAAAAAGAACTTATAATAGAAACAAAGGACTCATAGCAGTGAAGCTAGTTATTTTAGCGGAAGTTGGGCTTCATTATTATGTGTCTATATCAAATCAATATAGTAGGGATAATTTATAAATTATACATAGAACACTCTAGAACCCAGCTGTTCAAAGAGCACAAATAGCTAATATTTCTTGATCAAATGGAAAATTTGTTGACTTTAGGGAGGAATAATTTGCCATTTCACTTGTCATTGCCTTAAAGATCATCTTTCTTACAGACTCTGGGCTGGGATGGGCAGAAGGAAGGCAGTCGGGGAATTCCACCCAGCATGGACACCTTCTTTTGGGGTGAGGTGCCAGTGAACCCTTTCAAATATGCAAATATCCTCATGGAGGTCCCATCAGGTCCTATTCCTATGCTCACCGGAATTTCCACTTAGGAACTTTAAATGTAAGCGCTCCTAGCCTATATAAATTTTTTAAAAATCAGTCTTCACACCTAGGTTCGAACTCAGGGCCAGATATGAGTTCCCTTAAGAAAGTTATAAAACCTTTCTGAGCCTCAGTTTCCTTAACCATAATGACAATAAAAAATAGTAGTGAGTTACTGGTAGAAGAAAGTGACTCAGTGCCCGGATTATTGGGAGAGGAAACTGAAATCTTCATATTTAGCAGATGCCTGGAACACATAAAAGGTTTGAATATCTCTTCTCCTCATCACTGTGGTTTTCTGCTGTTGCTACAAATGTACCTGAGTCACAAAGGTGATAGAAGGAGTGAAAGGCTCAAAGCATAAAAGGGTACAGCATGGCGACATACACTATTGTTACTGTTGTTAATATTGAAATATTTGTAATGATCATGTGTCACAATATGAGCAATGATATATTATTGATCATAATATCTATAGTTAGTAGGATTGCTAATATACTGTACTAATCAATCAGTTTTGTCATACCAGATCAGATGCCTCCCTGAAATGCAGATAAATTCCCTATTATGGAACCATTGTCTACCAATTCTGAGATGTAGTCAGAGAATAGTAATGCTGGTGCTAGGTCAAGAGCAAAGCAGACAGGGAGGTATGAAGTAGCAGAGTCCTTGATCTGGGCCCCTGTTCTCTGGGCTCTAGGCTGTGAATGAGAATTTGTCCCTGGCTGACCTCAAGGCACAGAGTTGGCTGACAAGTGGGGCCACTGCAGAATGGAGGAGGTCAAGGCAGGTCAAGGCAGGTCAAAGCAGGTCAAGGTCCCTGCATGTAGATGCTTCCTTAGCGATGGAAGGTTGTTGTCTAAGGCTGGGGACTGGAGCGGGGTTGGGGGAAAGGGAGGTCGGGTGGATAGGAAGACAGCTAAGGGTCCAGTGTGGAGAGGCCACTCAGTAGCATTTAATTTAGAAAGGGCTGGTCATAGCATAGTTCATTAAAAGAAGGTCAGGCCTGACAAATCTGGTTGAATTCTCTGACTACATCTCAGAATTGGTAGACAATGGTTCCATAATAGGCAATTTATCTGCATTTCAGGGAGGCATCTGATCTGGTATGACAAAACTGATTGATTAGTAAAGGCCAATA